TCTCCTTACGCTTGCGCCGCTTCTTCTTGTCTCCCTTCGAAATGTTCTTTTGGGCCTTGCCGGCTTTCTTTGCTGCCTTTCCGCTGATTTTCGGTGCCATTGCTAATGTTTATCGGTTGAGTGATGAACACAAAATGAATGCAGACACTAGAGCTGCGCGCGCTTATATAGCGTTTCGTTCGTACGAGTAACAAGCAACAAGTAAACCAAAAAAAAAATGTCAGGACGTGGTAAAGGAGGCAAAGTCAAGGGAAAGGCAAAGTCACGCTCAAGCCGAGCTAGTCTTCAGTTCCCAGTCGGTCGTATCCATCGTTTGTTGCGTAAAGGAAACTACGCCGAACGTGTTGGAGCTGGTGCACCAGTGTACTTGGCTGCCGTCATGGAATACTTGGCTGCTGAAGTGTTGGAATTGGCCGGTAACGCTGCCCGTGACAACAAGAAGACCCGTATCATCCCTCGTCACTTGCAATTGGCCATCCGCAACGACGAGGAGTTGAACAAATTGCTCTCTGGTGTTACAATCGCCCAAGGTGGTGTATTGCCAAACATCCAAGCCGTCTTGTTGCCAAAAAAGACCGAAAACAAAAAAGCCTAAACATTTTCCCGTTTCAAAAGGAACAATCAAAAATCGGCCCTTTTCAGGGCCACCAAACAATAATTTATAGAGAATTCAAAAAAATCAACCCACATGATCAACATTTAAAGATACATGAATTTAATTGAATGATAATTTAACAATAAATTTCGAAATGAAATGTCTCCCTTTTTCGTGAATTTGCTTGAGGCAAGGTAACGTTTTGGTTAGTTCTATTCATATAGGACTCTTTTAATTCCAGCAGTCTGTTTGCTATTTCAAGACTGCTTAAATACTAACGTTTTGGTTTTCCATCCATTTTATGAAAAAATGTTTCAAAAAGATTTTTATTCTAATTTGAATGTATCATAGCACGTCTGTCCAATCTCCACGTAGATATATTTTCCCAATTAAAATTTCATTTTCTTGGACAAATAGTTCAAATTTAGACTAGTGGTTTGCTATGGTTATGTGTTTTTTTCTCATGCGGTTTTTAATAATAATAGTTCGATGGCGGTTGTTTTCTAAAGAATAAGTGAATACTTTTTATTGAATTTTTGTGAGTGTTCAGCGAATGTCATTGCATTGAGCAGCCATCTTCACTGCTAATGATTCTTTTTCAATCGGATTCAACGGCTAAACGAATTGAAACGAATTTCCTGTATGTTATACAGTTCGATATTCTTAGAAGTCGAATGAATTTCGGATTTAAGAATTTTTAAAATCACTTTGTAAGAGTTCAACAAGTGGGTCTCTGGTGTGACAATCGCTCAAACCGTCTTATTTCCAAAGAAGACATAGACAAAGAAAGTCTTGATAATCACAAACTTCGGAAAAATGTAAAAAATGACTCTATTCAGAACCACCAGAATATTTTAATGCAATATGTTCATTTTTCAATCGGAATAGTATTAAAGCCACCGAAAAAAATCTTCGTGTTTCTTCTGTCTTTTCATGAAATAAGCTGACACAAAATCATATTGCAGTCTAAAAACACATTTATTTGAAGTTATTCTTGCTTTTCAACTTTGCATGAATTTACTCAAGGCAGCCATTAAGAAGTCATATTCCAACGGAATGTTTGCTGATTTTTCACGATAATCGATTGAATAAAAAAGACGGAAGATGCAACACCAATGAAAATGAAAGAATCCATTAAGGTTTACTTTGAGTTTTCAGTTCACCGTTCAGTGTCTTTATACAACGAAACATCACACTTTGTATGTTTCAAAGAGCTGAACTTGAATGAACGCATTTTTTTCATTCGGCATCACCAAATAATGCTCATTTGAATTAGAACCGCGGATCTGTTTAATACAAATGCAAAAAAAAACAATATTTGAAAGATCTTTATTTTACTAATAAAACAGTATCGTTTGACAAATGTCCCATACACTTCGCCTACTGTGATTCGTTGATTCAATTTCCTTGAGAATTTATTTTTCGATCCAAAATCTTTATTTTCTTGAAGAAGTCAGACAAAAGATTTAGACATTTTTGATAATAATTTTATACCTAGTCAGAATCACTAGGCGTTCTTCGTTAGTGCTGAAGTCATCGTATGGGAGTCTGTTCACACACGTCGACCATCATTGTTGGGCCGATATTTGGAAGAAATGCAAACATTTTTTTAATATTTCTCGGTTTGATCTTGGAAATGAATTCCCTTAAATGTTCCCTTCGAAGCAAATGTGAGGAGCAAAAAAAGAAAAAAAGGTCCTCACTTTTGAAAACAAAGTCGGAAAATGACTATGGGTCCAAAAAAATTCGTTGGAGGTCAAATTTCGCCAGCAGGGGTCAGGATCAACGAGATCAGACTATGTCAGAATCTATGGCTAACACCACATATTACTTCATAAATTAGTTTGTTGGAAATAGATATATTCACACAAGACGCTAAAAGAAATATCTTTTTTCATACCCTATTGAAGTAAAGCCATTTTAAGACAGAAATAATGTCGTCAAATATAGGATTATTGTGCCCAGATTCAATCTTAATGCTGAATATCGATCTAACTTCGGCAAATTTTCAAGGCGAATAATGAATTCTAAGATCAAGAATGATATTTATGGCCGAATGTTGACTTGTGTTAAAAAAAAACTATTAAACTGTAATAATGTATATAAGATTGGCCGTTACCGTGCGTCCTTACACAGAAAATCCTAAACTTATTAAACGCTCAGACGCAAATTCATATATTTCTTGTACCTAGGAACGATAATTTACGAAGAGGGAATTTTGTGTGGTTGCTCTACAAATTGAATTTTGGTTTCAATAGATAATAATATAATACACTTTATATGTTCACATTTCAAAAACAATGCTTCCATCATCAGTGAGGTGACGATTCAAAGAGATGAAAAAAAATTCACTTGACACAAAAATCAAAGTGACATGCTTATTTCTTTGGAATAACAAACATATTTTTACATGCCTACTGAAATTATTTTGCAAAAAATGTTTAAATATTGCAATTTTGCAATGGATGAATGGTCGTCTCCATTCATCAAATTATCTCTTTTCTTTTAAATTAAAAGTGATTCATCTGCATCCAGTTTATTGAGAAGTTTTAACCCGTCTTCTTTCACTATACATATACTTTTCTGGATGATTTTTTCTTGCATGATAATCGTTTCTTTAAACTTTATTTCAATTGCTCTTCCACATTGCAATAATGATAAAAGCATAAATGTTCCATTATTTCAGTCGCAATCATGAAAAAAAAACAATAAACAAAAATGTATCAGATCTCGACAGTTATATATAAGCATCTCAGATGGGGGGGAATCCGGGGAATTTCCCCGAATATCAACATCATTCCCGGCGAGATTTCACGATTCCCCGAAAAAAAATATTTGCGCAGAAAAAATGTGTTATGGATATTTTAATTGTTTATGTCAAATAGCATACAGAAATGGAGCTAAAATTTCAATTTGTTTCTATTTCATATATTTCAAGAGTGAATGCACAGAAAATCTGTGAATATTGTGAAAATGAGACAGCCTCCAATTGATAAATTGTGATAGAATGTGAACACAAGTTGGAAAATTGTGTACTTCTCGATATAGTTAAGATTTTTTTCACAATTTTTCGAATTTTGAATACATTTGTTGAATTGTTTTACATAACTACAAATGTATATGCGTTTCTAATTAGCTGCTCAACACTTTTTGGAAATTTTGATAAAATAAACGTATTTTTTTCGGAAACAATAGTTGAACTATAACCATAGTTGGCGTAAAAAAACTTCAAATATTCACGCCAATAGATTTTTTGTTCAGTGGTATCAAAATATAAGAAATGAATGAAAACAAATCGAAATTTTACCCCCGTTTCTTATTAGTTGTCAACAGCTGTATACTTCAAAATATCATTTTTCTGTGATATTTCGCTAATAACTACAAAAATAGTTGTTTTAAAAAAAAGAAGACAAATTCCCCAATTTTGAACTGATTTACCCGAAAATTTCCCCGATTACCGATTGTCTCGCCTGAGACCCTTAGTTATATAATTCATTCATTTATATTAAAATTACCAGGCAATCGATTCTGGGCTACAATATTCAAAAGTGATAAAGCGCAGAAAAAAGTTACCGAAATCATGCTTGTTATTTTTGATATGGAAATGACTCGTTGTAGCAAAACAACTCGTGTTTAACGTGAAATTTTCCAGAGGTTGGTTGCACATAAATTTATTTATATAAATTTCAAATATCAAATAAATTTATCCGATATTTTTCATGCGTTGTGTTGTTCTGACGCATTTGCAGTACATAAACGAGACATCGGCTGTTGTATTGACAGCCAGCTATTCATCGCAGAAATGAGATTTTTGGTTTGTTCATTTACCGATATTTGTAAACAAGTCTGCCACTGTGTCATATAGTCCATAAGAAATGTGCAGAGACTGACAGAGAATGTTCGCCATTTAGTTTTACATTACCAATACATTAGTTATGGAGATTTTTGTTTTGTTTATTTTTTGTCGTTTGTAAACAAATCTGCATATCTTTTTGCATTGACTCTACACATTTCTTAGGGATATATACTACGTACAATGGCAATGCAAAAAGATAGGCAGATTTGTTAATAAACGACAAAAAATAAACAAAACAAAAATCTCTATAACTGATGTATTGGCAATGTAAAACTAAATGGCAAACATTTTCGTCTCTGCACATTTCTCATGGACTATATATGCTATGTAGTGACACAGTGGCAGAATTGTTGAGAAATAACGGTAAATGAACAAAACGAAAATCTCATTCCAGCGATAAATAGCTGGCAAATGCGTTAGAACAACACAACGCATGAAAAATATCGGATCAATTTATTTGATATTTGAAATTTATATAAATAAATTTATATGCAACCAGCCTCTGAAATTTTCCTCATTGAACAAACGCGCCCTGAGGCTAAATGCAGCATTTAGTTTTATAAAAATTTTCGTGGCACATTAGATCTGAATGTTCTAGCGCCTGCCATCGAACACCTTACTTCGAGAGTTCCGTTGATGCAGACACGGTTCATCTATTCAGGTATACTCGGTATTCTAAAAGCCGGTGGTGCCTATGTACCGCTCGATCCGAAATATCCAAGTCAGCGGCTCACCAACATATTGCAGGATTCAGATCCACTGCATCTCTTAACAGACGCCGCTGGCCAGGCAGTACTCGGAGATCATCAGGTACCAACAATCGACCTGGAAGAGACTTTGCCCACCGACTTGTCCATTGATAATCCAGATCTGGTAAATCTTGCACTTACTGCAGCTCATTTGGCCTATATAATTTACACCTCTGGCTCAACTGGAACTCCGAAAGGGGTGATGGTTGAACATAGAATTGTAACTAATTGCCTTCATTTGATCAACGAAGCATTCACAGCTAAAGACTTTGAGCACACTTCAATTTCGCTATAATCAGGCAGTAAAGCCTGCCTGATTATATGGTACCATCGGCTTATGTATGTCTTCCGTTCTTACCGCTCACACCCAATGATAAGCTAGATCGGCGAGCCCTACCAGCTCCAAAAGATAAGGCGTTCGT